ATGGGAGTCCGAATTGGAGAAGGGGAGGGGGTGCGGCCCCCCTTTCCTTCTCCCTCTCTCTCTCTCCCTCCACTTCCCTCTTTCCCCCTCCTTTGGAAAGGAAGGGGGCGACTAGGACTGGAGTCCTAGTTGGATCCCCCCCACTTGGGCGTGCCCTAGGCCGGCCCTCTCCCCTCTCCTTCCTTTATATACGGGGGCAGGGGGCACCCCAAAGCACAACAGTTGTTTCTTAGCCGTGTGTGGTGCCCCCCTCGGCCCCTCCACCGTTTACTCCTCCGATCATATTGTCTTAGTGCTTAGGCGAAGCCCTGCGCGGACCACATCACCAACACCGTCACCATGTCATCGTGCTGATGGAACTCATCTACTCTTTCGTACCTCTATTGGATCAAGAGTTCGAGGTACGTCATCGAGCTGAACGTGTGCAGAACTCGGAGGTACTATACGTTTGGTACTTGATTGGTTGATTTGAGAAGACGTTCTACTACATCAACGGCGTTATGTTAACGCTTCCGCTTTCGGTCTACGAGGGTACATGGACACACTCGCCCCCTCTCATTGCTATGCATCTCCTAGATAGATCTTGCGTGAGCGTAGGAATTTTTTTGAAATTGCATGCTATGTTTCCCAACAACTCATGTGTGAGGAAGCGCTTGCCATCAGGCTGAGGCTCTTGATGTCTCTTATATCATGTGGAGTGAGCTTCAGATTGCAGTGTTCCATCGGAAGGTGCCCATCTATGGCCCCTACTTGTTCCTCTTAATATCGAAAACTTGGGGAGAAGCTCTTTCCGGATGAAGAGTTCCTTGCTCCCAACTAGATTCGCCATGAGCCCATCAAGCTGTGCCAGAAGAACCAGTGGGCTAACACCACTACCCGGGCTAAGGCCGAGGCTGCTCATATGGATGTTGATGAGGATGAGTTTGAGGAGGAGGAGGATGAGGATAGCTCTGAGGGTTATGCACCTCCATCTACTGAGCCCTCTTGGGCTAAGAAGCTCAAGGCTAAGGTGAAGTCTCTGTTCTGCATGCAGGCCAAGGGGCAGTGCCAAACCCATGTTGCTCAAAAGGAGAGTCACCAGTGCGACAAGAGGATCTTGAGGAAGCTTGGCGAGCAAGTCTCAAGCGGGTCTGAGAAGAACATCACTCCTGAGGCTGCCTGGATGGCGAAGCAGGGCTATCAGTGGACTGAGTCTGACGGGGAGTCTATTCCTGATGCTGAGACAAATGAGGAGCTTGATGGTTGATCGCGTCAGTCGGAGCTACCACCTGTGTCGTAGTTATCCTCTCTGCCTTTTTGGTTCTCGATGCCAAAGGGGGAGAGAGAGTAGGATTTGCGTGTCTCTTGTGCTGTCGTTTCGTTGAACCTTCGTTGCCTTGGTTTATTGGTTTGTGTTGGTGTGCGTGTGAGACCTGGAGACTATTCTATCATATGGTGTGAGACGTATGCCCTCAAGCTTATCCTTTTTGTCTAGTATGTTTAGTAGAATTGTGAGCTTATGTTAATTATCTTGTGCCCTTTACTTCATGCTCACTTATTATTCCCTGCCTCAATGCTTATTGTCACTTATTGGTGCCAGTTGTGCCTGCTCTATAAACTATAGGAGGAGTGTTGATCGTAGTATGTGTGTTGTGCAGTCCAAAGCATAGCTACAGAGTGCACACAACTAGGGGGAGCTTGTCTATATTTTATAGATTTTGGGTTTGCTTATGTTCATTTTATATTCCTATGTGCAAATCTCGTATTGTCATCAATCCACCAAAAAGGGGGAGATTGTAAGGGCGTATTTCTCCCTATGTGGTTTTGGTGATTGATGACAGTGCATTTGCGACTAATCGTGTGCACTGAGCATTTCAGATATCTCATGTCTAGGCACAAGACGATTCGTTGCCCCTCGGAGCCTATCAAAGACGGCGGTTCTCTATGTTTCTTTTCGGTGGATTTGAGTCGTAGGAAAGCCGTACTATTGGAGGGGGTCCGCTTCGGAAAGGTTAGGGTGGAATCAACATGTACACATCTGTTTCTTTGCACCACCTTTCCTTTGCTTCTTTGGAGCACCATCCGTTTATCCTTGTCGCTGCGAGAGGAAGGCTTTCAAGTGCTATAGTTTCTATGGCGTGCGGTAGTACTGCTCAAGGGAGCAGTAGTACCGCAGCTGCCCCGTGGTAGTACCGCTCAGGGTAGCGGTAGTACCACTCCTAGCGAGCGGTAGTACTGCTACCTCTAGCCCAGAACGCTGTCACGCACGGAAGTAGGCGCGGAAGTAATTTTTTACTTCCGCCCCTACGCGGTAGTACCGCTCCCTGCGAACGATAGTACCATGCCGGATTTTCGCAAGTCCCAATCTCAGCGGAAGTAGACACAGACGTAATTTATTTAGTCCGTGCCTTTTCCAGCCCTGGTGAGCCCCTGCCTTGCATTAGTACCATAGGGGCGCGCGGTAGTATCGCTCCGGCGGTTCTACCGCTCGTTGCCTAGTGCAACAGGTCCTCACTTGGCTTCTACCGCACGAGCGGTAGTACCGCAACGTGGTGCGGTAGTACCGTAAGGCCTTGGGGTAGTACCGTGAGCTCGTGTGGTAGTACCGCGCCCCGCGGGCTGACTAAGTGGGTAACGGTTGGATCTTTTCCCCCACTATATAAAGGGGGTCTTCTTCCCTAAGAAGACTACCTCTTCCTCCCTAAGCTCCATTGTTGCTCAAATCTCCGTTTTTGCGCGATCTCTCTCCCTAGCCAATCAAACTCGTTGATTTTCTAGAGATTGGTTGAGAAGGCCCGATCTACACTTCCACCAAGAGAAATTTGATTCCCCCCACTAATCCCTTGCGGATCTTGTTACTCTTGGGTGTTTGAGCACCATAGACGGTTGAGGTCAATGCGGAGCCATATTCCATTGTGGTGAAGCTTCGTGGTGTCGTTGGGAGCCTCCAATTAAGTTGCGGAGATAGCACCAACCTTGTTTGTAAAGGTTCGGTCGCTGCATTCAAGGGCACCAATAGTGGAATCACGGCGTCTCGCATTGTGTGAGGACATGAGGAGAATACGGTGGCCCTAGTGGCTTCTTGGGGAGCATTGTGCCTCCACGCCGCTCCAACGGAGACGTACTTGCTCTCAAAGGGAAGGAACTTCGATAACACATCCTCGTCTCCACCGACTCCACTCTTGGTTATCTCTCACCTTTACTTGTGCAAACTTATATTGTGTTGTATCCCTTGCTTGTTTGTGTGCTTGTTGTTGTTGCATCATATAGGTTGTTCACCTAGTTGCACATCTAGACAACCTACTTTGATGCTAAGTTTAATTTGGTCAAGAAAAGCTAAAAATTGTTAGTTGCCTATTCACCCCCTCTAGTCAACCATATCGATCCTTTCAGCTGGTTTTGTCGTAGTCCATCGGATCAGAGGGGTGGGGATCAGAAGTGGAGTGGACAGAGACAAGAGTGAAGTGGAGTTCGGATTGACTAGTATCCAGGGTTTTCCGGATGTGGGGATATTTGCGGGGTCGGGGTGGGCCGGGCTGACGTGGCGGACGCGTCCGGGCACCCTCATATCCGCCCCATATTTTGGGTTGGATATGAGGGGTGCCAGTCAGCTCGAGCGTTTGAGGCCCGTTTGAGGTCCCGTCAGGGTCAAATTTTCATGACTAGACAGGCCGCCAGGGCGTTTGAGACCGGTTTGGAGTGCCCGACTGTAGATGCTCTAAGGGACCCCGCCACAACCTGTTATTGGGTTTATAATGTTTGTTTTCTGTCGAGTGAATCTTATCATGTAATTAATAGAGGTCACACATGCCATAATAAGTTGCCCTCAACATTGTGTTCTTCAGATATTTCCATTCAACCCTATCATTTGTTTTTGGACTCTAATAAGTGCCACACGTGTGGCACAAATGCGTGGCAACTCTGAACATTTTGATGGCAAGTTTAGTGACGCGGGGATGCGGGGATGACAACTTTAGTTGTCAAGCATGGCAACTTTTTTTTGGATGACAAGTTTCAGTTATTTTTTGGGTTTGTTTTTTATTTTCGAATGACAACTTTAGTTGTAAAAAACGTCAGGGCCGGAGCGCGTCATGCCACACATGTGACACTTATTATTTGGGTGTTTTATCGTATCAAGCTTCATTACCATATAGGTTCTTTTAGATAATCCATATAGCTTTTCTCACATGCTCCTCGAGAGAAAAGGGCTAAAAATGAGCAGGGCCTTTTGGTGACCGAGCTCCATGGAGCCTTTTTTTTAAAAAAATTCAAAATTCAAACTTCCTGGATTCAAAAAAGTCTGAAGAAAATATGTAAGTATACAAGGAAAAATGTATGCGTGCGCAAAAATTCAAGATGCAGTATCTTGAAATGCGACCTGTACAAAAGAGATAAAATTCTGGACTTTGAGGATGAATAGGATCATGTGTTAAAAAGGCCCAAATTTGTTTTTTTACAACCTTCGTTTCAATGTATTTTGTTCTGAAAATTTAAACAGATGCACATTATGCCTCCATGCATATCTGTATTTTTTTCAGTATTTTTGAAATGTAAAAATAGGAATTCTGATTTTTTTTTAGATTAAATAGGAATTCTGATGAATTTTGAAATCAGAAAATGGATAGCACAGGCCCGCTGGCCCACTGGCCGATAGCCCGATACCTATCCCTGCCTTTGATCCCGGTGCCAAACCGCCAAAAAATACTCCTACTACTACTCTCACCTCACCCACTGTCCCACTCTCATCGCACGCCCTCGAACTCGGTGCGCAATAATGCTATGGCGGCATCTTCCTCCCGTCCCAACCCCAACCGTGCGGTGGCTTCCAAACGACGCCTCCGTCACCGCTTCGCCGTCGCCATCACCCGAGACTAACAAGCCACCAGCCGCCCCCCACCCCGCACATGCACTCGTCTGCTCCCACTTCGCCTCCTCGCTCCCACACACCCCAGTCTGTCTCCACTCCAGCCCACGCCACAGCCGTAACCACCGCTGAGCGCTGACTCCACCACCGCTCTTCCATGGCGGCTGCCGACGACGATGGCCAGATCGACGACGACGAGTTCTACGAGTACAACCCGCACCCCTACGGCGGCGGCTACGACATCTCCGCCACCTACGGCGCCCCGCTCCCGCCCTCCACCTCCACCTGCTACCCCATCTCCTCCCCCGCCGGTGCCCCCGCGCGCTCATCTCCACGTCCACCTGCGCCCGCGCCTGTTCCTGCTCCCGCCACGCCGCAGCCGGCACCAGCTTCGCCCGCGAAGCCCCGGCCGGTCCCATCGCCAGAGCCGGCGAGGACACCGCCCTTTTCGCCGGTTCCGGTGCCAGTGCCGGTGCCTGTGCCGGTGCCGGTCGCGGAGCCGTTCTACTGGCCCAAGCCGCACGACTACGGGGACGCGCCCCGGTGGCCGCTGGTGTACCCCACGCCGGAGGTGTTCCGGCGCTGGCCGTACCTGGCGGCGGGGTCGCATTGCTGCCACTCGCGGGGCGGGCCGCGCGACTACTGGAGGCAGTGCATGCGCGGGCTGGACTTCCTCTTCGGCCACGCCGACGGGTACGGGGAGCGGCGGATCGGGACCGACTGCCACGGGGTCCCCGTGTACGCCAACAAGAAGGGGGGAGTGGAGGACGCCGTGGTCGTCGAGGTGCCGCCGCCGGCAATTGGGAATGTGCAGTGGCACGACGCCGGTGAGGTGCCGGCAATTGGGAATGGGCAGTGGCACGACCACGCCGAGGTGCCGTCAACTGGGAATGTGCAGTGGCACGACCACGGCGAGGTGCGTGGGAATGTGCAGTGGCACGACCACGGCGAGGTGCATGGGAATGTGCAGTGGCACGACGCTGGCCAGGCGCACGATCAGAGCAATGTGAGGAAATACACCGCATCATTCTTCAGTTTATCATGCTTTAGTATACTCACTTGGCATACTATTACTAATATTTATCTTCCTTTGTCAGTATTATATTGACCAATTCCTTCATTGTTTTGTACTCGGAGACAGTGGCTATCTTCATACCACAATGCAAAAGAGGATACGTATGCATATGCCCATTCTACCTATGGCTCATATGACACATCCTACGAACAGTCTTACAGTGTTGATGTTGTTCCGGATGAACCTACCTGGTTTCCCAATCAGAGCTACCAGGATGTTTACAGAGAGGAGGAACCTCAGTGTCAGGTATTTGTATTTCTCACTTCTGAATTATCTAAGTGTCAGTCACTCAACTGACTAGTGAGCAGTGAGTGACTAGTTGTCAGCCTGTACATTTTGCGCAATAATTTGCTATGTTTAAATTAATAACTTCGTCGTGTTGGTATGTTTTAATGTTTGTTTGATCTGTCAGTCAATGGGTTCGCCATAGGAGCACCAGTGTTGTATAAGTACCATCAGCATATTGACTTGCTCTGCCCAATGATTAATTTGACCTTTATAAAGAGCAACATTAGACTAGAAATCCAAAACGAATCAACGAGTTGTATGTCTGAAAGATGCTTCAGTAACTAGAGTAGACAATCCTGATTCACCACTTCCCTTTTTCAGAACATCCATGATTCATTACTTATTATACTTGCACCTGGACCTGTCCCTGCTTGTTATATTCACATCTAAACCCCATCTCAGTTTCACACAAGCGTCCTGTTATGGTGCAGAGAGTACTATTTCAGCTCAACCTATATATTGCTACAATCAACTTTAGTGAACGGACACTCTGAAGTTGTGCTACTATTTGTTTGTTTAATGTGGCCATATGTACTGTTTGTTTAATCTTTCACCGAATGAGGTAGCAACAGGCACATCAGTGTTGTCTAACTACACCTGCATATATATTTGCTCTGCCTGAATGCCTGATTGACTAATCTTATCATTGGAGGATCATTAGACAAGTCACACAAAACAAATCAAGAAGATTTTTTATATGTTTGAGAGAGATGCTCCAGTAACTACAGTAGGCTATCCGTTCCATGATTAGTTACTGATGACTTACACCCTATCCTGCTTGACTGCTTGTTATCTTCACATCTGAACCCCATCTCAATTTCAATACAGGAGGTTTTGCCCAGTTATGGCATAGAAAGTACATTTTCATCTCAACCTATTTATTGCTACAATCAGCACACTGGTGAACAACCACTGCATGTTCAGGTTGAGCCTCCGGAAACATTTTATTCTCACAAGCTGGAGTACCACGAGGTTTGTTAGCCATCAATGTCATTTACTTAGTGCTTTCAGTTTTGTGTTGATACATTAGTAGTTGCTATACATGTATTTGCTTATCCAGGCTGACTACATTTGTCTCCGTGAAAATGTAATATGTTTCTCTATATTCTCATAATTGCTAACTACATAATATTTTGATCCTTATACAGAATTTCTCAACATATACCAACCATATTGATAATTCGGAGATATCGACACAGTCATGTGAGATACAGCCCTATGCATATGTACCTGACAGCCCAGTTGAAGCTTATCAACCTTCTTGGTCGATGAATTTGGGATACTATCAGGACTCTGCAGAAGAGGTGACTCCTCAGTATGATAATGTAAGATGTACTCCTGTCACATTTGAGATGCTACTGATACAACACTAATATAAGATCCTGTTTGTTTATAAAACTGTCAATTGGACAGATTATTGACTGATTGTTCAGAGTACAGCTAATATATATTTTCTTCATTAACTCGTTGTTTTGACTAGCAGCATGCTTTCGAATCTGGTGAATATGGAGGCATGGCAAGCATATTCTCGTCTTCCTCCTATCCTCAGCAAGTAGAAGTTTATGAGCAGTCTTATGGTGATGAGTATGTCTCCTTACAACAAAATTTCCTGAGCAACTGGAATGCTTTTTCTGAAGATACCTCTGAAATCACTAAATCAGTAAGCATAAGAGCTTGTTATTGAATTTTTTTGTCAGTGGTATAGATCAAATTGCAATGCTGGACACTTCCATTTTTCTGCGACATATTTTTCCCTGTGAACTGAATGTGCCGGCATATGCTTATTTTCTAGCAAAGCGATCCTTATGTACGAGAACCTATTGTTGGAAGCAAACTCCCAGCCATATTGCCTACTGTTGTTATTGCTATTGTATCTCTTTGGGCAACTATAGAATCGTAGAATTCAAATAGAGAATTCAGATTTTCCCCTATCCCTTTACGCAGTAGAGTTTTCTTTAATGTAAATAGCGTTAGTTGTTTAATAATTGTAGCTTGATTTTCTGTCTGTGACTAGCAAACAGTTGAGATAACTTAGTTTATGTCATTTTAACAATTTAACAAGTCATGTAGTTTCTTGTGCTTTGCCAGGATTTTTTTGTAGGTTTGCAACTGAAAAAAGAGTAGTTTTTTATGGTTAAAACTTGTGTGTGGAGCAAAATAGCTTACCGTATTTAACCTGCAGGTTGATGATTGCAACCATCTGAATGGCTCCTTCTGGCCCTTTGGAGAATACTCAACATATACTGTATAGTCTATAATGTTGTAATTTCAGTTTAGTATCAAAATATCATATACTCCCTGCGTCCCGAAATAACTGTTGTAATTTCACTTCAGGATCACATGTATGGACATTTTGATTTAATTTATTTGGCCAAATGTAAGTAGTAAATAGCGTCATAGGAGAAGTGTAAGTAGTAAGTTGTTTTTGCACGATATTGTGTACTACCAAATATGTGTTAGTTATGCATAAATGCAAGGTAATAACCGCATTGCTGATCCTAGTTGCATTTACTTATATAGTTGTTGTTTTTCATTTTGTGTTATGTATTTGATCATGATATTTATACATTTTTCCTTGCAAAGACCTACTGTGTGCCGGAACCATTTACGGTAAGCCACCTTTGTGAACTCTTGAGGTTTGTAACACTTATGTAAGAAATAACATATGTATAGAAATATATGTATGTTATTTTCCATACATATAAAAGAAATATATTATGAAAAAACCTAACATTTTTTTAGAAGAAAAGGGCTCTTGCCCCAGTTCCATTTCATAGAAATGAAACCACATAGTAGATTTGTTACAGCTCGCGGGAGAGGATTGATACATCCTTCCGGCATTTTTTCAGAAAAGTTCACTCCACCTAAACTCTTTTTGCGGAAAAACTTCCAATCTATTCATCTTCAATCATGGCAGTACAACGAATACCAGAAATAAAAATTACATCTAGATTCGTAGACCACCTAGCGACGACTACAAGCATCGAAGCGAGCCGAAGGCGCGCCGCCGTCATCGCCCCTCCATCGTCGGAGCCGGGCACAACTTGTTGCAGTAGACAGTCGGGAAGTCGTCGTGCTAAGGCCCCATAGGACCAGCACCCCAGAACAGCAACCGCCGCCGATGAAAAATAACGTAGATCGGAAGGACCTAAACCGAAGACACACGAACGTAGACGAACAACGACGAGATCCGAGCAAATCCACCAAAGATAGATCTGCCGGAGACACACCTCCACACGCCCACCAACAATGCTAGACGCACCGCCGGAACGGGGGCTAGGCGGGGAGACCTTTATTCCATCTTCAGGTAGCCACCGCCGTCTCGCCTTCCTGAGTAGGACACAAACCCTAACATGATTGAAAAAATGACTAAAAACAAAGCCCTCCCGCCGGCCCTTGGCAGGATCCACCGCGCCTCCATGGCCCTAGGGCCACCGGAGACGAGGCGGGCCTGCGCCGGCACCGACGAGAGGCACGAACCCTAACTTTCTTTTTTGGAGGAGGAGGAGGAGGCGGTGAAGGAGGGCTCACTCACTGCGAAACTGAAACATAGATCTAAACTCATAGTTCTTCCTCCCTCACTTCCCTCATATAAGGTCTCTACGATCACCCTTCCAACAATAAACCGCTGAACACGCCAGTCCATCCTTCCGCCTTCTTCTTCATCAAGAACTGCATCCACAGCTTCTTCTTCCTCAACCTGGCTCTGGCCAGATCAGCAGAGGAGGTCGCATGGCCGTCTCCCACAGTGAAGAGATGAGCCTCTCCACGCGATCTCTTGCAGCCTCTTTGCATAAAATCTTCCATTGATCGTAGAAGCCTGCAATTTTCCTCAGAATTACCTGCACACCCATCAAGGGGACTTTGTTAAAACACATGTCATTCCTACTTCTCCAGATAGCCCAGAGAGTAGCTGAAATAAGCATACTTTCAGTTTACAGGGTTTTGTGTTTCTCCCGCATCTTAGTTATATTATCTAATGTAGGTTGGAGCAGACATCCTGAAATGTTATGAATATTCCTCCACACCTCAGTAGCAATAGCACATTCAAAGAACATGTGATTACTATTCTCATATTCAGAGCAAAACATGCAAGAAAGATCATCTAAATGTTGTCTCTTGCTCAGATTACTCCTAACCAACAGCTTATTATGAGCCAGTAACCACAAAAAGATATGAATATTAGGAGGAACCTGAAGCTGCCATATTTTTGGGATATGGACAGGACAGACCCCTCTAACATTAACCATAGATCTAACAAAGTAACTCCCATTAGATTCAAACTTCCAAGTAATGGCATCTTCTTCATCATTCAGAACGATAGCTTGTGCAATGCTAATTAAGTCAAACCAGAGGTGTAGTAGTCTATTGTCTACACACCTTCTGAAGGTGATTTTAAGATTAGCACCATCCCAAAGGTCAGCAATAGGTTGGTTATGTTCATTAGCAATAGTGTAAAGCTCCCAGAATTGGATGGCTAAGCTACAAGATCCAAACCAATGATCTTCCCAGAACTTAACTCTCTTTCAATTGCCAACCTTCCATTGATATCCCATCTTGGTTGCTTTGGCAGCCCATAGGACCCCTTTCCAGAAAGGAGAGGAGGAGTTGCTATCAGGACAAGAGAAAATATTTGGGTCCTTAGTTCTATATTTAGCATCCATAATTTTCTTCCACATCTTCTGGTCTCCCTTTTGATATTTATCAATCCAGGCTGCTAGAAGGCTTAGATTCATATCAACAATATTAGGTATGCCCAAACCCCCATATTGCTTCTTTTGAGTCAACAACCCCCAGCTAGCCAAATGATATTTATGATGGCCCTCATAGTTGTCCCAAAAACAATGTGCCATCTAAGAGTTAATCAAGTTTATAGCCCACTTGGGAAATTTTATCATACTCATCAGATAGGCAGGAATACTAGCCAAACAAGACTGAACTAAAATTAATTTTTTCTCATATCCTAGTAATCTCCCTCTCCAACCAGCAGCTTTTTTTAAGACCTTATCAACCACAGGTTGCAGGTCTTCTCTTTTTAACTTGGAGTGGTGGAGGGGGAAACCTAGGTATTTAAGAGGAAAGGAACTCAAGCCACAAGATAAAGCTTGAGCAACACTGTGGGCTTCCTCTTCACTAACATTAATAGGAACAAGGTCACACTTATGGAAATTAATCCTCAGCCCTGACATTTGTTCAAAACAAGCCAGTAACCATTTCAGTTTTTTTGCAGAATTAATATTGTTTTCTAGGAACAAAAGGGTATCGTCTGCATATTGCAGACTGATTACACCCCGAGGGAAAATGTTAGTCATTAAGCCAGACAACATATTATCCCTAGCTGCTTTATTAAGCATTCTGCTGAACACATCAACCACCAAGTTAAAAAGCATGGGTGATGCAGGGTCCCCTTGCCTAACCCCTTTAAAAGTTTCAAAGAGATCACTATTACATGTTGGGGAACGTAGCAGAAATTCAAAATTTTCTACGCATCACCAAGATCAATCTATAGAGAGACTAGCAACGAGGGGAAGAGGAGTGCATCTACATACCCTTGTAGATCGCTAAGCGGAAGCGTTACAAGAACGCGGATGAAGGAGTCGTACTCGTAGCGATTCAGATCGCGATTAATTCCGATCTAAGCGCCGAACAACGACGCCTCCGCGTTCAACACACGTGCAGTCCGCTGACGTCTCCCATGCCTTGATCCAGCAAGGAGAGAGGGAGAGGTTGGGGACGACTCCGTCCAGCAGCAGCACAACGGCGTGGTGGTGATGGAAGAGTGTGGCACTCCAGCAGGGCTTCGCCAAGCACTGCGAGAGACGAGGAGGGAGAGGGGCAGGGCTGCGCCAGGGAGAGGAAAACTCATGTCCTTGGCAGCCCAAAAAACCCCACTATATATAGGGGAAGGGGAGAGGGGGCCGGCCCCCTCCAGTTCCCATCTAGAGGGGAGGGGCGGCGGCCAGGAGGGGGAGACTTGCCCCCCAAGCAAGGTGGAGGCGCCCCCTCCCCTAGGGTTTTCAACCCTAGGTGCCTTGGGCCCTGGTGGGGGGGGGGGTGCACCAGCCCACCTGGGGCTGGTCCCCTCCCACACTTGGCCCACGCAGCCCTCTGGGGCCAGTGGCCCCACCTGGTGGACCCCCGGGACCCTCCCGGTGGTCCCGGTACGTTACGGATAGCACCCGAAACTTTTCAGGTAACCAAAACAGGATTTCCCATATATAAATCTTTACCTCCGGACCATTCTGGAACTCCTTGTGATGTCCGAGATCTCATCCGGGACTCCGAACAACATTCGGTAACCACATACAAACTTCCTTTATAACCCTAGCGTCATTGAACCTTAAGTGTGTAGACCCTACGGGTTCGGGAACCATGCAGACATGACCGAGACAACTCTCCGGCCAATAACCAACAGTGGGATCTGGATACCCATGTTGGCTCCCACATGTTCCACGATGATCTCATTGAATGAACCACGATGTCAAGGATTCAATCAATCCCGTATACAATTCCCTTTGTCTAGCAGTATAGTACTTGCCCGAGATTCGATCGTCGGTATCCCGATACCTTGTTCAATCTCGTTACCGGCAAGTCTCTTTACTCGTCGGTATCCCGATACCTCTCCGTCACACGGAGTGACAAATCCCAGTCTCAATTCGTGCCAACCCAATAGTCACTTTCGGAGATACCCGTAGTGCACCTTTATAGCCACCCAGTTACGTTGTGACGTTTGGTACACCCAAAGCATTCCTACGGTATCCAGGAGTTTCACAATCTCATGGTCTAAGGAAAATATACTTGACATTTAGAAAAGCTTTTAGCATACGAACTACACGATCTTGTGCTAGGCTTAGGATTGGGTCTTGTCCATCACATCATTCTCCTAATGATGTGATCCCATTATCAACGACATCCAATGTCCATGATCAGGAAACCGTAACCATCTATTGATCAACGAGCTAGTCAACTAGAGGCTTACTAGGGACATGGTGTTGTCTATGTATCCACACATGCATCTGAGTTTCCTATCAATACAGTTCTAGCATGGATAATAAACAATTATCATAAACAAGGAAATATAATAATAACCATTTTATTATTGCCTCTAGGGCATATTTCCAACAGTCTCCCACTTGCACTAGAGTCAATAATCTAGTTCACATCACTATGTGATTGTAATGAATCAATGCCCATGGGGTTTGATCATATCTCGCTTGTGAGAGAGGTTATTAGTCAACGGATCTGAACCTT